TATATATAAAATAAATTATAATAACACTAAAATTTAAATAAATCACAAAATAAAACTATTCATAATATAACTCGTCCAACAAGCTAATAATATCCACAAAAGTAAATGTTCTACCCCAAGTGCATAAGTTTAATACATTTCACGATAGTAAGTCTCAAAATGTTGACAACAAAAGATTCCTAGAACATTCATCTATAGCAATTCAAAATTCATCTTAAATAAGGTCTGGATCTTCAATGCCTTCATCTTCTATTTATTGATCTACTCCACCTACAAAAGAGGATAAATAAAGTCATTACCTTTCATCTGGAATGCCTAGACTAAATAAATTGATCCAAAAAGAAAAAGAAAATAATGGACATACAAGATGCTAGTCATGAGCCTAGCTCTTCTACAGAAACACATACTGGAAACAAAAGCAGGCCATATTATTATATGACTTGAGCTAAGGTATCAATGACTTTAAGCTATGCAGTTTACTGGAGATGAAATGCAGCTCAATGGTCTAGCTAGGCAGCCACTTTCACACTGACTGACAAACTCACTGTATGCAAGAATTCAATCACAGATAAGATTGACTGAGATCTAGGCAAGATCTAGGCCAATCCGTGCTGAGCCTAATCTCGGACTGGGCCTAATCTTATTGTACCCCATTTTCACGAAAATTAAGTCCATATCGAAAAACTTAAAGACGTATGTAGAACACTAAAGTAACCTTCTCAAGTACCAAATCCTTAAGGTGCGGTCGAGGGAGCTCGAAACCAGCAAATGTTCTTCTGGTGCGGCTATCTGCAGGCAACAAGCAAGTAAAAACACCAGAGTAAGCAAAACCCTTTTATTTCAAGCTACTGGAAGCATTAGCCAATTCTACCTTTGTGACAAAACCATCATGAGCTTGCCATGAGGAAATAATTTTTCCACTCCTCACATCAAATAACCTGCAATAGCCAGAACTTTGCCCCACAGCAACCCAAGATGGATATTGAGGATTTCCGTATTGCTGTTTAGTCAAAGCACATGAGCATATGGAAGAAATCAGAGAAGGGAAATTGGACTCAGTAGCTTCACTCCTTCATAAATGAAGTTTTTGACCTTGTTTGACATCAATGAATCTGGATGCCAAAATAACATTGACTGGATAAACTATGTAAGAGAATGTATCTGACTCAATTAAATACAACTCCAGAAGGCACTGACCTAAGAGAGCCATTTCCAGTACCCACAACAAGATTGTCCAGATATTCTTAGTAATGCATACTAGTGTATAAGTAACCATCAAATGAAGTGTTCAATATTCCACCTGACAATGAATTGAAATGTAGCATATTAGCCTGTTCTGCGTTCAACTTTGAAGCTTTGGCTAAAGGGCTGGTATGTTGCACACAGCTTGTCGAAAACTCTGCAAACACAGATATTAGCTTCCCCGTTTGGCCATTCCACACATGCACTGTCCCATCACAGGATGCTACCCTTTCAGTGGATGCCACAAGACAAATGTCATTCACAACCTGTAAAGGAAAGACAAATAAATGCGTAGAACTTCAGTGAGGGTCTTTTTCCTATATATCTCAACCTAACTTTGTGAAATTTAACAAAAGGCATTTTTAAAGTACAGAACCAGCCCATGCTTGGTAAGGATTATGTTCACTTCCTCTTTCAAAGAACAACTACTAGTTAACAAGTCGTTAGGCACAACATACGGATGAATGCTTACTGTTTGATAGCAAAAAAGGACAATGAAGCTGAAAAATAGAATCACGTAACAAATTCTTTTTGTTGGGAGGAATATAGGTTCCAGAATGTGACATAGCTTAGCAAAACTTACTAAGTATCAACAACAATCTATCAATCAATTGAAACCAATGGACAAGTAGGAACATTATACCAGATTATAATTTGCTTAAATGCATGAAAACTGCCAAGTAAGCTGATAAGACATTCCATTGCGGTGTCTATATCAGCTTTGCCTCAACAATAAATTTCTTATTATACCAGAAAACGGCGCACATTTTATGCCCAAGAAAAGATATTTCCCGTTAAAACAGTTAATTCTCTTAAATAAAGAAAGCAAATCACTGAAGCAGAATAGGACAGTGAGAGAAATCAATCATTCTCCGGTCTAAGGTTTTCCTGGTACGAAATTTTCATATGTATACCAAATATAGCACAATAAAACACTCTCTTCCCATTTTATTGGTGAAGTTAAAATGAGTACAGAGATCAGAAGGTGGTATACTGGCATATGAAATTGGTGGTAGCAGCAAAAAAACAAATACATTTATTGGAAAGTTGGTATAATAGGGAAACCATCAGATGATCACTAGAGTTTTAATTTTTCAAACCTTTTGATATCCTTTTGGATATTTTTACTATAGAAGTTTGTCGAACTCTTTATCATCCTAAAATTATCACTTAAAAAGATAGTTGATCTTCTCTTCCATGCTGAAAGTAATATCATCCTTACCTTAATAGAAAATCATTGTCCGAGTGTGCTCAAAAGATTTTGCAATTGAATCGCTCATCCACTCAAGGAAACTCTTCGCATAGTCAACAGTACTTGACGCTACATATGAGAGGAAGAAGATGGGAGTCGACAACTGCTTTTGCATCCAGTGCTGCAATTCTCACCAAAACCAGCCATGAGACTAACTAGTTAATAAGTTGCAGACAAAAAGATGAGATACTCTCATTCCTGCACCTGTTCCAATGTCAAGATGAGCTCCAAAACTCTACCAGCAGTATCAACAGGAAGTAATACATTTCCCCCAACATTTACAGTTTTTTCTATGGCATCTACAGGAAAAAGAAAAACACAGAGACAAGAACTGAGAAATTATCACTTTCAGCATGGAAGAGAAGATCAACTATCTTTTTTCTATTGAATGGGGATAGGGAAGATCAAACGACCATTTGAAAGTCCTCTAAATATGCAAATTAATAACTGTAAAATTATAAAATGTGTCGGACAAGCCCTTCTCAGATCCAAAAAAGCTCCTCAAACCGAAAAGTTTTCTTTTGAATGAGGATAAGGGAAGACCAAATGACAATCCGGAAGTCCTCTGGATGTTCAAGTTAATAACTAAAATTTTATAAAATGTATTGTGCGTATCTTTGACTTCCCCTAAAGGCCTAAACCAACGAAGTCCGTATGACAAGCCATTATGAGATCCAAAAAGTTCTTCACAATAAAAAGGAACAACAATTACCTAGAAACTCTTGGTCCCTTTGGCGCCTAGAGGGTTGATTGTTTAAAGCATTAAACGCATCCGTTATTAGAACAGCTGGACGGACAAAAGACTGTAAAACAGTTCCATTCAGATGTCTGAAAGGGAGAAAAGTGTAATTATAATATTAGGATCAAGTTGAGTAGAATCCAATTTAGACGGATAATAAGACTGTTCTAAGTTTACCTTTCTTTACGGTGATTGAAGTCAACAGCATATATGACATCCTCCCCCATCTTTTGTTATCTTCCATGTAGTACCTCCCAACAGATGACCAGCTACCAGTGGAGTAGTAACAATCCCTTCTCCTTTTCCTACAATATAACAGCAGTTCCGGAGTCATTAATAGATTTAAGATCTTCAAATTCAGTTGTAGTCAGGACTTGCAACCAATCTAGCTCTTAACGACCACTCTTCAACGTCATGGGCAACTTTATCTCCTTGACAATATGAAGTACTAGATTATACATGATATTAAGAGACCAGAAACGGACATGCAGTGAACTCAAAAAAGGTGGAGTAACATACTAAACAAGAAAAGAAACCTGCCAGACATGTAATGGTTTTGAGAGTAGGTTAATCTGGTCACTTTTTGGAATGCAGAATCAATGTCATCCAAAGTGAATTGATCAAACTCTGAAACTTGCTGCACAACAAGAGTATGTCAATGGACTTCTATACGATTACACACTCATAAACAACAAACACAAACGATTCCGTCAGATATTGGACTATACTATTCTTAGCAGCTGCCAAATATTGTTCTATAGGTACTTCTATTTCTCTCTATTTTTCATTAAAAAGTTTTGAACCCTATTAGTAGAAGAAGAAAGATTAAGTAACATTCGAGTTGGTACATTCGGGTCTGATAATGGTGACTCACATTTTGCCAACTTTATTTCCAGTGTTCTTCTCTAATTTGAAAGGGTTGGTTAGCATCACCGACACCTTAACTACCAAGTAGACAGCAACTGAATCAGTAGTCTGCATTCGTCATTTACTATGCAAATAATTAAGGAGACCAAGACCTAATTAATCCGTTTGTCAACAAAATACGGAAGGATTATAGAGATAATGATCCCTATAATACATGTTGTAACAGTCGAAAGTTTTATTTTCCTTTTCTAATGAAGACAGTTTGAAACATACAAACAGAAGCCTCAAACTCTGGCTAGTAAACTTGTGTATTGCCTCAGATAAACTCTCTCCCTTAGGGAGTACATAAATCAATAAGCACATTGGAATCTATAGCTCAACGTAATTCATTGCAAAGCACAAAAAAATTAAAACACGACATCAACGTTAAGGACAGCCACTTAATATACATGTGAAATGCTTGATTATAAAGCTTATCAACAGATAGTTAGCTATCTGTTGTTAAATGCTACATTGTAATATTTGTTTTGCTTTGAGAAATAGGAATATTATATGCACTGAAGTGAAATTGAGTTGTTTGTTGACCTGGAAAGGGGCTGAAGAAGAGAAGTATCAAATCGGTCATTCCAACCACAATCGATGAGGAAATTGAAACCGTCGATAGAGACGAGGTAAGAGAGAGGGTTCTCGTTGTATACTCCACAGACTGGCGTCACCTGAACCGACGTTCCCATACCGCCGTCGTTCTCTGCTTCTCTTTGCTTCTACACCGACTCGCCGAGCTTAGTGAAGACGGGCGATGCTCTCACAAACAATAAAAACATTAGCATTCAAGAAACAATAATCGCCATTTTCTTATTGAGACAAAAGAAGTGATCTTTCGACAAATATAGAACTCAACTTCATTTTCTATGAAACCCTAGAAATGGAATACATAAGACCAAGCGGCGCGCAGGCAGAGTGAAAAACAGAAGGCATGACTGAGATCTTAAAGAAAATAAACAAAAATGGTAGAATAGAGTTGGAATAGTAATGAAAAACATAGCTTACCGATGTCGTCGATGGTGGTTTGACTTCATCGTAATCACCGGCGAACTGATGAAGGCTTTTTGGGGGAGACAGATTGGAACTTTTGAAGATAGCGTTTGTGTACTACTTATTAGGTTTTATTATTTTATTAAATATTAAATGTAAAATATATTAGAAGCGGGTCTTTTTAGCGGTCCGTCCAAAATTTGGGGAAATTAGAGAGGGAATTCCTAACCGTTGCCTACTTGCCTTACATTAAAATTGCTAATACCGTTACTACAGATAAACTTATTGCTACGGTTTTGCAAAAACGTTGCCATAGAGAATCTACTGTAACGGTTTTTAGACTAATGCAACGGTTTAGGTGCTAAACTGTGCCGATAGTACCCATTACCTTACGCAACGGTTGAAACAGTTGCAACAGACCATCTATAGCAACAGTTACAGAACCGTGGCAATAAAAAGCGTTGTCATAGCTCCAATTTCTAGTAGTAGCGTAATACTCGGGTTATATTTGCAACGTCCGCAAAATCCTTTTTAGAGGACATAGTTGGGCGTGATCAAACTGCCACCACCACCAACATCTATTTCCATTGTACTCTTCTGGTATTTATTATTGCAACTTTCTTTACAATCCAATGCGAACCCCAAATGGTTGTTTCTTTCAATAGATTTGGAAAAAACAGATTCATTGAGAAAGGTAGTGATTATAGTGGCTTTAACACCACGTGAAGCTACGAGTTTGGCCATGTCTAACGTAGGAATCATGTGGCTATGAGCCATAAAAGGAAAGAAGAAAAAATGGAGTTGACCCATGTGTGATAAAAGTTGCAATAGAAACAGAAAGCAAAAAGAGAGCATTTGGGGTTATAAAACTTCAGCTCTAAAACTGAAGTTCGCTCGTTAAGAAACAAAAACTTCAGCTCTAGAACTAAAGTTCGCCAGTTATAAAACAAAAACTTCAACTCTAGAGCTGAAGTTCGCCAGTTACAAAAATAAAAACTTCAGCTCTAGAGTTCAGCTCTATAGTTGAAGTTCGCTGTTACAAAAACAAAAACTTGCTACTTCAGCCTTGTATGGTGAAGTTATGCGAAAAAATGTGTACGTTTGCAAAAAAAATTTGCAAAGCGGACACAAGTTAAAACGTGACACAAAAAGCGAATATAGATGCAAATGCCCCGTATGTCTTGTATACACTGTAGATTAAATCATTTGACCTTCATCTTCAAACACTTTCACATAAATGGTGACAAATTGAGCAGTATAATTGAGTTGAAGAACACTGTCATGCTCACCACAAGGGTATATCTGTGAATCAATCTACTGATTCATTAACTTTTCTGGACAAGTACAGCTGAAATTTCGTAACCCGTGGATTTCCGCGTGAATTATGAAGTGCTGCAGAGAAGTAATGAGGCTTTTCGGTTATCCATATTGAAGGGAGCAGCTGAAACGTTGGTTTTAATTAGTCGTGAATTTTGGACTTTCACAGAGTATTAAGTTAAATGAAAAACTTTACGGAAAAAGACAAAAAAGATAAATAGCATTCTAGGTTTTAGAGAGGTGCCAAGTCACTTCTTCATTTCTCTACTTTATATAGTATAGATTACATCACAATAAATATTTATTAAATATATCTAAAAAATTTATATATGTAATGTTGGGTTCGTTTGATTTCGGTTTGACTTTCTTTAGTTAAAACAAACAAAACCAATTATGATCGAATTTTTTTCCCAACACAAAACCAAATCAAACCAAATCATAATCGGATTTTTTCTCAGTTTGATTCGGATTATCGAATTGGTACAGTTTGTCGGTTTCCTTTGTAACACCCCTACTTGGGGAAAAATTCAAAAATAGCCAAATTTACAAGTGGTCATTCAAAAATAGTCACAGTTTCAAAAATAATCGAAATTTAGCCACTTTTCATGTAAAGATAAATATGAACGAAAATATTGTTCAAAATCAGAAAAATACTCCAGCATAAGTATACTGAAACTCCAGCATGACAACTCCACTATAATATGCTGGAAGATCATATATCGGTGCTCCAATCTCCAGTATATTATACTGAAACTTCCCGCATGTTAGAGTTCCAGAATAATATGCTGGAAGTTTATACACAGGTGCACCGATCTCCAGTATATTATAATAGAAATTTCCATACTCGCCTTCTTGATCATTTCATGTGGTTACACAATCATCACTTACTATTGACACCAGGGGCGGATGCACCTTTGATGAAGCGGTGTCACGCGACACCGCTTTGTCGGAAAACTTTACTAAATATATGTATTAATACTGTGAGGAAACAGATAAGTAGTAAAAGATGACACTACCTGAAACAAATTATCTCTTGGTGTGTTGGTTATTTGCTTGATTTTATTCTACGAGATCAAAGGTTCAAACCTTAATTAGTACTATTTTTTACCAATATATTTGAGAGGGCCTTGTGGTTAATGATTGTGCTTAAGTAGAATTGAACTCGAGACCTTTTCTAACTTAAAACTCAACAAAATCAATAGATTAAGATTATATCTTATCCAAAAATATGATAATTAAAGTTATTATTCCTATTCTTTTATAAAATTTCGACACCGCTTACAAAAATTTATGTGTACGCCCCTGATTGACACAACATGCCAACATAAGTGTGTAGAAAGAGAAATTTGGAATGTTAATATTATGCCAACATCCATAATATACTTTTAACTCATTAATGAAACATTAAAAAGGAATTCATAAAAATCAATATACGAAATATACTGGTAAATGCAAGCTTACCTCAAAGAAAACTAGTCTAAGTTGCAACAATACAAAAAACGTTTTGCCATCTTATAACAATCTTGTATCACAAGAAAAGCTACTATCCAATCATTGTATAATCTTTTACTGCCCCCACTGTATTGGTAAGCACGACAGTGTTCATCGACTTAATGGTACTACTCAATCTGTCACCGTTTATGTGAAAGCGTTCAAAGACGAATGTCAAAACATCTAATTTATGGTGTAAATTCAAACATAATTCAAAATATTTAAAAGCAATGTAAGGACTAACTTTTGACATCTAATATACCAATTAAGTGTTCCTGCTAGAGTATGAAGAGTCAAGTGACAACACAGAACAAGATAATCCTTGTGCTTCTATAATAAGAAAACTTGATATATACCAACGATTGTATAGTCTATGGCTGTCCAACGGGACGGGCCGTCCCGGGCCCGTCCCGTTCCGAGTTAAACGGGATGGACCAATGTTAAACGGGACACGGGATGGGACGGGAGGGCCATTTCGTCCCGTTTCGTCCCGTCCCGTCCCGTCCCGCGTCTCGCCTGAATTTTATTTTAATTTTTTAAAATCTAGCCGTTGGGCAACGGCTTAAATTGCAAAAATAGTCGTTGCCAACGGGCAAAACATCCCCTACCCCTCCAAACTTTTAATATAACCCCTAAGTTTATTAAATTATACTTTAGTCCTATTTTCTACTATAAATACCCCCATTCTTCTTCATTTTTCCCACAAAAAATCAATCTTCTCTTTCAAATCTCTTACATTCTAATATTTCAAATCTCAATTTTGTTACTATCAACTATCAAGTATCAACAAGGGGTGTATAGTCCGGGTTGGTTCGTATTTTTCAATTACCAAACGAAACCAATTGTCTCGAATTTTTAAATCTATAAACCAAACCAAACAAAAAAAAATCAGATTTTTTAATCGCGGTTTATCTCGGGTTTCTCGGATTTTTTTCCGACAAAATCTTCATTGCATAAAATTTATAATTTGTGCTCTAATATTTCTTAGGTCCTAGTAGGATAAAACTATATAAGATATTGCCCAATAAAATAAGATAAAATAATGTAAGATGAGCCATGATTATACTAAAATACTCAACAAATCGCATAAGATAAATATTGCTAATTAATAAGCCATAATAAAAATAAACATAATCTAAATGTACTAAGTTATGTTAAAATAAATACGATTAATAAGTACTAAGTATTAATTACATGACTAAATAATATTAAAAAGAATTTATGTATTTTCACTATCTAAACAAATGCAAGACTAAACAAAAATTCATTACTATTGTCATTCCTAGTATTGAATTGAATTTTTTTTTGTTAGCATTAATATTGATTTAATTTTGCTTTGAGCTTTTATTTGAGTTACTAACTTTTATAGGCTATAAACCATTCAAAAGCTCTAAGTCTAAACTTGAAATAATACATTAAAAGTGAGAACTATTAAAGAGTTTAAAAAATATTGATAAATTACATTACAATAATTATTTTTATGTATAAAATATTTTAAAAACTTATATACATGTAATGTCGGGTTGGGTTGGTTTCGAATTGATTTTTTTTAGTTAAAACCAAACCAAAACAATTATGGACGGATTTTTGTTTCACCAAACCAAATCAAACCAACCTATAGTCGGATTTTTTTTTTTGTTTGACTTGGATTATCGGTTTGGTGCGGTTTGTCGGTTTCCTTTGTACATCCCTAGTATCAACAATCAAGTGATAACTTTCAAGTTTCATATTTGGGCAAATTTTGGAGCAACTTTCAAGCTTCAAATTAATTCGTCAAGTCTTTGAAACAATATTTTTAGCGCGGCAAGATTTAAATTGGAGATCATAGACATGCAATAGGAGAGGACAGTCTAGAGATTTCCGTATTATTCAGAGATTGAATTAATTCAGAAAGAAGAAATCTTGGTTTTGAAAAATTAACCACTAGGGAAGAAGAAGAATACAATGAGATACTTAGCACCGGGAGCGATGACAGCATGGAGCTCATGGAACATCAATCAACATTGTCAATTCCAGCAGAATGTCCAAAAGATATAATTGATAAGTTACAAAGAAGCTATATAGAAACTTACAAATATTATTATGATAATTATAATTGGCTACTAAGAGGCCTAGTTCAACCAGAACTCTTCCTAGATGGTAACTGCATAAATTAACTGTTTTTCAAAAAAAAAATATTTGTATTTGAAATTTGAAAGTTCCATTAATAAAATAAAAGGTTCTAAGCATTAAAATTTTTTTTATAAATTGTCTTAATTACTTAATATTTGAAATTATATTAAATAAATAATAACTCTATTATAAATTTATAATTA